CACCTATCTTGAGCTTTTGAGATTAGTAGATTATCTCCATTGTACCTGATGGCTTTCCTTTTTACCTTTTTTTTTTTTTTTTTAGAGCTAAATTCAGTATTAAATTACATTTTATTTGTGTTTAATAGTTATACTTTTTTTAAAAAAATTCTTTTTGATACAGGGTCTCACTATGCAGTTTGCACTCATAGTGATCTTCCTGTCTCAGCCTCCCCATTACTGGGATGACACCCAGTTTTGGCAGCTGGCACAGAGCGCCTGGGTTCCAGGGCCAGCATGATATGTGGTACAGGGGATCAAACATAAGAGCTTGTGCTTGTCAGGCAGGCACTTATGCCACCGAGCTGTCTCACCAGCCCAATAATTATATTTCTTTTTGAACTGTTCAAAGATTGCTTTAGATTTGTTGTGTATAAATGTATTATTCTGTTCAGGCTGCTATAATAAAAAACAGAGTGAGTGGCTTATAAACAGTAGATGTTTGTTGCTCAAAGTCCTAGAGTGTGAAAATTCCAAGTTCGAGGATCTGGGAGATTTGCTGACTAAAAGCCAATGTTCTGTTTGTACTGAGGTAGGGCCTATTTCCTTGTTCATAGATGTCTATCTTGTTATAGTCTCACCTGGTGGAAGGCTTGAATGAGCTCCTAGGGCTTCTTTTATAAGCAGTAATCCCTTTTATCAGGACAACCATCATGACCCAGTCACCTTCCAAAGCCCCACTTCCAAATTATCAAAGATTGGTTTCAACTTAAGAATTTTGAGGGGTGTATAAACATTCAGTCCATTGGAACCTCCTCCTTTTCCCTCCTCCTTCCTCCCTCTTGTTTCCCAAGTGGGATTTAAACCAGGGCCTGTGCACTGAGCTGCATTCCTTTTAAATTGACCAGGCTAAGCTCAAATTTATGATTATCCCTTTTGTCTCAGCCTCCCAGTGCTGGGATTATAGAGGTAGGGATGCTGGGCTGTTCTTGCCTGGATTTTATTTATTTCTTACACCCATTACAAGCAAGAAAAAAAAGTATAAGTTTACCTCATGTATACCATTTCTGGCACTCTTTACTTCACTTTATAGATAAAAGTTTTCATTTGACTTCATACTTAGCACTGAAGAACTTCCTTCCAAAATGATCAGCCAGCTCGTGCCACAGGAAATTCTTTTAGCTTTGTGTGCATGAGTGTAAATGTGTGTGTAAGTCTTTAATTTGCTTTCATTTTTGAGAGATGTTTTCACTATGTAATTCACATTTTTTCCTCCTTTGAGCATTTTAAGACATCACTCCATTGTTTTCTGGCTTGCACAGTTTTGAAGTTCACTGTAATTCTTTTCTTTATTCCTCTATACATGATCTTTTTTTTGGCTCTAGATGTTTTTGAAATGTTTCATCATAGGTTTTAGTATTGTATCTATAATGAATATAGGCGCATAGTTTCTTGGTGGGGGGCAGATGGTGCTATAGATCAAACTCAAGGTCTCACATATGGTAGGCAGGCATTGTATCACTGAGCCATGCATCCAGCCTTTGGGTATGTATTTTTAACTTTTTCTGGTGCTTGGTGTTCTTTGACAGTCTTGCTTATGTTGGTTGATGTTTTGCATTCTTTTTAAAAAATTCTCAACTGGTTAACTTTTTCAGAATTTCATTCTGCATTTGTTTTCTCCTAAAATGTAAATTACATGTATTATCTCATAGTTCCTGAAAGGCCTTTCTTAATCTGTTTTCAAGTTCTCCAAGTCTTTCTCAGTTGTGTATAGTTTACTGATGAGCCTATTTAAGGAATTGCTTTTCATTTTAGGAGGTTTGGAGGCAGTGTTAGGAATTGAATCCAGGTCTTTGTGTATGTTAGGCAAGCACTGGTCTCCTGAGCTACACTCCTAGCTTGGCATTACTAATCATCCTCGCTTATATTGTGTTACTTGTTATTTACATTTGTTTGTTTCTTATAGTTTTCACATTTCTGCTGAAATTCCTGTTCTCTTTGTGCAAGTCATGCATTTGTTTTCTTGTGCTGAATCCCTTAACATGTTGATCATACTAGTTTTTTGTGTGATGGTTCTGTAAGACCTGAGCTGTCTCTTGTTTTAATTATCTCTGGATAGTGAAATTTCCTTGCTTTTCTGTGTCTTTTACTTTTCTTTATTTTCCGGTAATAGAGATCAAAATCAGGGCTATGTGGGTGCTAGGCAAGCGCTCTACCTCTGAGCTACATCCTCAGCCATGTCTTAGACTTTTGTACCAAGTAGCAGAGATTTGTACAAAAATGATAGAGATTTGTACTTGTAAAAAAGAGAAACATTTTTTTTTTCTCAGTCTAGTCATGTTAGGAGTTGAGTCAGTCTTTTAGTACTTGAGCTAAATTTGAGTTTTTTTGGTGATGTCTTTTGTTGTTGTTGGTGGTGGTAGTAGTGTCTTTGTCTTTAGTATGCTACAGATGTTGCATTCCTCCAGTAATAGGTTGCTGTTACCTTGTGCTTGGTGTGAAGCTTGGGTGTGTAGAATTTTTCATTTCCCATCTCTTTAAATTTAATTCTGTCTTCCCAATTTGCTATAAATGGGAGTATCTCTCTTTGCCTCTCTCAGTAATCTGCTGTTGTTACCCAGAGCTAGGTTTTTGGTAAGAGCAAGGGGTTTCTTTGTTCTGTTGTTCCAGCCTCAGTCTCACATAGGCTCCTGAACTTGGCAGTCAATTTTTTTCTTTCTTGTTTCTTTCCCTTAGCCCAAACTGCCTTGTGTCTGTAGTTGCTTTTAGGTGAGAGTTTTCTGTTCCGTGTCTGTAGCGGACCTCTGCGTGGTGAATGTATGGGGTCCTGGGCTGAAGATTGTTTCCTGTACCTCTGTCAGGCCTTAAAAAGTTTGGTTTTGCCTTTTCTCTCACACCAGTAGTACCTTTTACCTTTGTCCTGGGAAAAGATTACCTATCTTTCCCTAGGGGCAGAAGTGTTTTGTTTTCCTTCTTCCTCCAGAAGTAATGAATCTTTGCCATAGTCCTTTGGTTGAGAAATTTTGCTGCCTCTACCTCAAATTTGTCACTTGTTTTGTTGGTTCTTGTAAAAATTTTGGAAGATTGGTGGGCTTTGTAGTTTCCTCATCCTTGGTCTGCTGACAATCATCTCCTGTGCTCCTACAGTCAGTCTCCTGCTTACTTAGTCTTTCTAATGACCACATGATAAATGCTTAATGGGGAACAATTGAGTAAAACGTCCCCTTTTCCTGTTTAACCTTTGTTATCCTAAACTGACTCAGTAGGCCATACTTGGCCTTTAAATTTTTAAAAAAACATTTATTTTTTATTACCTGCTTAATGATTGCCAGTTTTTTTTTCTGGGGTCTGCCAAAGGTAAGATAGCTTTAGTGTCCAGTTTCTCTTTGAATAGCCTTTTCCCTGTTAGGAATGTAGTTTGCTCATTTGCTTGGCTGCCTTGCAACCTGGACTGTCTAGTGTACTCAAAAATAGGTTGTCGTTCTCCTCATCGCCCTCCTCTTCCTCATCACCCTCCTCCTCCTCCTGTTTTTTTTTTTTTTTTTTTTTTTTTTTTTTGTGAAAGCTTACTGGGTGTTTTCATATTGTTTCAAGAGGAAGCATTATCTTTTGTAGCTGTTTACATCCCAAGCAGGGGTAGAATTGTCATTTAAAAGTTTTAAATCTCAATTTTGGTAATAAGATAGGTTTGCATTTATATTCTATGTATACCCTTTGAAAGCTGTATCCCAGTATTGCCCTTGTGAGAGGGAGGTTTTACTACACGTATTCTTAGACTTTTGAATTTTATATTAAAAAGTAAAATAACCCCGAAGGTGCTATTGTAAGCACTGGCTAAATCCACTTGCCACCAAATCCCTGGCCCTTTGGGAACAAACAGAAGTATTTGGGAGTAGATTTTGAAATGTTTAATTGAGAAGATTAGGACTTTTGAGTATTTTTTGTAAGAATTGAAATCCTAGTTTTTTCATGAATAGATTTTCTGTTTCATAGGCTCTTCAGGTTTACAGATAGTTTCCTGCCACCCAAGTTGTTTATTCTTTTTTGCTACATTTAGGGTACTAGACAGTCTTCTTGGTTCTCTGTTGCCAGGGTCTACCAGCCCAAACCCCCTGATCTGTCTGTCTTCATGCACTGCTGTATATTTTAACAAGATCCTAAGTGGCTAACCCCCCACCCCTTGCGGGAGGTCAACCCAGGGCCTTGTGTATGCTAGGTAGATGTTTGTCCACTGAGCTACACCCTAGCTGTTAACATTAAAAAAACCTGAAAAGGTAGTAATACTTGTGCCTTGTAGGACCATTTGGATTTAGCAGGAAAGGGTTTTTTTTTTTTTTTTTTTTTTAAAGATAGTAGTTATCACCTAAAAATCCCACACAGAATAACTTCTAACATTTTGCATTCTGATTTATTTCCAAGAATAAGTAAATTTAAAACTACAGTTGGGCCGGCCAGATAGCTCAACAAATTAAAAGCACCTGTGTAGGCAGATGCAGGGACCAGGATTTAATCCCCAGTGTGCCGTGCTGGCCCCATCCCCCCAGGATGCACTGAGATGACAATTGAGACTAGGCAAGGTGGTGTGTACACTTGTAATCCCATTGTTTGGGAGGCTGAAAACAGGAGGATCACTACGAGTCTGATCTGTGTAGTGACACCCTGTAGACCCTGTACTAAATACATAAAAAAAAAAACCTACAATTAAAGTCTTGGTATGTGGAAAATTTTCTGTTTAGCATTTAATATTTAACATTACATCACTGGCATACCAAATGGTCTTAAACTTTAAAGTACTACATACATTATTATGGAATCCACTAGAAATTACCATACTTTTGTAGTATTTGAAATTTGGAAGTCAGAGTTTAAATTTGAAGCTTATTTTAAAAAAGCTTACTTTATAATTATATCACAATGTATAGAAATATTTAAGTTTCTGATTCTGTTTTTAAAAATGATTTTTTTTTTTTTTTTTTTTTTGGATTCCATTGACCCAGTGGCTTTTTCTCCTTTAATTTCAGAATTCCATACGACATAATCTGTCACTCAACAAATGTTTCCTTAAAGTGCCTCGATCCAAGGATGACCCTGGAAAGGTAGGATTCATTTTCTTAAAGCCAAGCAATTGGACTTTTCTGTATGTCTCCTTGTCATGTTTGAATTGAGAACTTGTGTAGTTGATTAGGAACTTTTGTGAAATACCAAGTTGTCCCTTATCTGTTCTGCTTCTCAGTTAGTTGGTCCTCTTCAAAGACCAGCCAGTTAGGAAGAGCTTTCTTTTTAACAATGGGAAACTAACTAGGGCTATTCCTTTGTTATTGATTATTCTTTCTGATCTGGTCTTTGATTGCTTTCTTAACTAATGTGCATTAAATTATTATGGTCTTTGAATTGTTTGTAGGAACCACAATCAATGAATTATTGCATATAAGGGATGGATTTGTAATTTACAAACGGAAAAATATTCTAACTTTTAAATAAAATTGTTTCTCTGTTAATACTGTTTTCTTAGTTGCTGTGCTTTCTTCTTGACTCTACACCTGCCACCATCACGGTTTTAGCATTTTATCTATAGACAGTTTTGTTTGTTTCAATAGCCAAGCCAACTGTGGCCTTAAGTTGGCATAGTATCTTATTTTTTAAAGCTCAGAGTACTTTGTTGGATCACGTTTGGTTGATAATTTACTATGGTAATTTACTCAATTAGAATTTCAAGAGAGGGTAACTACTGGCAAGATACCTTCTTGTTTGGGTGATTAGGTCTTTTCCTTAGGGTAATTGTTCCTGGAAGAATATTTCTAAATTTAAGTGGTCACATAAGTACCCTGCTTAACAATACCTCTACATTGTCCAGGAGATGTTTATTTTATTTTATCATCTTTCATTTTTATAATGTTACCATTTCAGCTGCAGTTTACTTTATTCATGGATGAGTATGAGGAACCTCTTGGAGTTTCTCAAACATGACTTTCATATGGTCTTAGTGCATTTTTTTTTTCTGTATTTGTCTGGCCTCATCCTCTTCTTCCTAGATTGAGCTATAACATAGTAGGTCTCCTAAACTTTTTTTGTTTCTCCATACCTTTGTTAAGTTCGTTGTTCCCTTTTTTGTGTCTATACCTTTAGCCTTATTGTTGTAGTACTTCCTAACTGTCTGTTTTTGGACTTGCTCCCTTGAATTTACAGTTATTTTTATGTGGTTGCTAGTCTTTTAAGAAATCATAGTAATCATACTGTATCCATCTGCATTCTCCAACTCTTCATTTTTGTTCTTGGGTTAAAATCTAAATGTTTGAGGTTGTAGGAATAACATGTACTTTAGTCACTAACCCCAGTTGCTTGTACAGTGGCTGGTGACACTGAACATCCTTGTTGTATGAATGTGTTGTGTCCGCCACTAAACTGTTAATTTCTCGAGGTAATAGGTGGAAAGTTTTTCATTTCTATACTAAAGCATACTCCTGTGTGTAATACTTTATAGTACTTACTGTGATCTGCCCAATCAGGTGGTTATCAGTAAGACTGAGTAGATTATTAAAGTCTTATTTTTTGTGAATATTTATAACTCACTAAGATGGGATAGCAATTGGTGTCAGTTTTTTCCCCTTTAATGCAGGCTTGTTATTAAAAAGAATTTTCTATATGTCTTTATTACAATTTTTCATAGTATATATGTGAATCAGATTAAAAACATTTTATTTGAAATTTATGGAGGCTAATTTGATTCTGTAAACATTTAGTTTCTAATATGTTTTCTAGCTGTGTCACAGCAGAGAAACAGGCAGAAGGAAAAAGGGAAAGGGCCTTTATTTATCTTTGAGGATATGGGGAGTATCTGGGGAAGATAAGGGATTCTCTGAGTTGGAACAAAGGGAGGCTGAGGCTTTATGGCCTTTTGCCACAAGTGGAAGTTTGAGGGGGATGTTTAGATATATCTGAGGAGCTGATTTAGGTCTTCCCTGAGGCGGTGGGAAAGGTAAAAGGAAATTGCACCCTGGACTGAGTTGGAGAAGAAGGGGGACTGGTTTCTGGGAAGATAAGCTGTTGTTTTAAGCTTCAGTCATATTAGATGACCACCATAGTAATTCAGCAATTCATACTAGGGCCAGAACCTAGCAGTTTCAATTTGATTTTTTAAAAATTAAAAATAATGGAAATGAAAAATTAATGCACATGAATATTTAACTGCATTGCATACTAAATTTTTCCCAGTTGAAGACTATTTTAAAGACTTGTGCTATTAGGCTAAATGTTCAGTAGTGGGAAGTTAAATCTTTTGTCTGTGGAAAACATGTTATACTTTGCAGTTATTCTCTTGGAATCATGCTTATGCAACTGATTCTTATGGAATCAGTAATGTGCAACTAAAACAGAATGCAGAAGTGAGTTGACTTCTGAAGGGTATTTCAGCGTTTACCATTAGTGTCTAATTTTAAAGTTTTACATGTTTTAAAACGTATTATTCTCATTTATTTTGGTCACAAGTATCATTTGATCTTATGAAGTACACTCACAGAAATGGAGTCACATTTATTTTTGGTCTTGGTAAAATTTAAATAAGCCATTGTTCTCATTGAATTTTGGTGAGAAGTGGATGTTGTAGCTTTGATCTTACAAAATGCATTTATCCTGTGTAAAACTTTTTTATATCACGGTGAGATTATGATAAAATAGAAAGAAAAATTCCATTACTTTTAAAATACTTTGAAAGCTTCACTTCTATCCCATTTTATAAGAGAAAAAATAAAAAAAATAAAAAATCTTATTTAGATTAATTGTGGAATTAGAACTCAAGTGTGTGTAATAGCCAGATTTACTTGGCAGTCACAGAGACCCAGTAGAGATTAACTTATAGGGTTCTTCAGGAGAAACCGGGAGTTAGGCACTTAAATTACATTATCACAGACGGCTCTCTCTGTCCCTTAGTTGTTCGATACTGTCTTTTAGCCCAGTTAGTGGCAGAGATGGCTGTCAGCAGCTTTTACCTTACACTCGCTCATTTGGAATTACAGCAGAAATCACTGAATAAATGCCAAGTAAGTGAAAAAAATCTTGGTTTCTTGGTTTGTAGACTGATGCTTTTTCCAACATACCAGTCTTCCTTGAGAAAGGCCAAAATGTTAGTTAAGTTTTGGTACTTATAAATTGTTTTTTCTTTTTGTATTACAGTGTCTCCTGGCATTTGAGGAGCTTTTCCAAATCCATCCTCACCACAGTGGGAGAAAACCATTGAGCCAAGGTGGGGTGGGAATAGATTTTTTTGGGTATGGTTCATGGGTATGGGATGGACTTGTTAGGTTTTTGCTAGCTGTGGCCCTGACCCAATAGATCCAAAAAGTAGAAGTAACTCATATAGCATCTGTTATATTTTCATGGTACCTTCCTGTTCATTGTAATACTGAAGAGGCACAAAGACCAGCATAGACCAGAAGTTTTTTTTAGTGTATTTGTTTGTTGAAGGGTCTCACTGCACAGCTCAGACTCATGGTGTGGTGAACCTCCTGCTTTCAGTCTTCCCAGTGCTGGGATTATAGGCGTATGCCACCACAGCCAAACTCTGGCCAGCTCAGCCTGCCCAGGGGGCTGGGCTGGAGTGGCATGTGGTGCTGGGGATCCAACTGCAGTCCCTTCGCTTGCCTAAGCTTGCTAAGCAGGCACTTTAGTCTGCTGAGCTATCTTGCCAGCCCTAGAAGTGTAATGTTGAATTAAATAAAGGTTTTATATGACTGCTTTTTTTCTTACTCAATTCTTCATGTAAGAAGTCCATGTCATAAAAGCCATTCAGATTTGGTACTCTTTCATATATGTTGATGATCTGAAATCCATTTATCTCTATTTCTTGAAATTTGCTTCAAATAGCTACATTATTGTTTTCTTTAAAAAGAAATACAGCCAGGTGTAGTGGCATCTGCCTGTAACCTTAGCACTTTGGGGGCTGAGACAGAAGAGGATAGCCACGAGTTCGAGGCTAGTGTGGACTACATAGTGAGACTATCCCAGCAAACCAAAAAGTAAAATAAAATATGTATGTTTGTATATACATACAAGAATATAATGGACATTTTTCATATATTTTGCTGCTTTTGCAGGGATACAGATTTCTTTTCCCTCAGTTATAAACCTTTTCTTCCTATCTGTCCTCTAGTCTGTCTCCATTTTGTAAATCTTCTCTCTTCTCATTGTTTTCTTAATTTTTGCTGACATTGTGACCTAAACATTTGTCTTTTATTTGTGAGGCATAATACTTTTCAATTATCTTAAAGGTAAATGTTTTTGCACACATTATAAAGAAGAAATCATCAACTAAACTTTGAGAAGGCTGTTCTCCTATGTTTTTTAGCCTAATTTTTTATCAACCCTGTTCTTTCTCCAGTTAATAAAAATACTTGGGCTTGAAAGGAACTAAAAGATCATAGGAAGTGATTTTAACAATTGCATAACAATTAATGACATAGAACTTCTAACAGAACTGAGAACATTAGCTAAAAAGTCTAAGGCCAGCTATGCATATGCTGGGTAATTAACCTACAGTTGATTCATAGTAAGAAAGAAGAGCTTTTTGTTTTACTGGTTTTGGGAGAAAGCTCTCTGTTACCTGGACAGGAGCGATTGTTCAATGGCTATGAAGTTATTCAGGTCTATTGGTATGTGAGAAAACAAACATTGCTAGAGAAATAACATCGTTACCTCTTTTATTTCTATTCTCTGGTTCATAAAAGACAGTAATAGTTGAACCATACCTTTTTTTTCAAAGGAGTTTTTTTTTGGGGGGGGCTGTTAATGTTAATTTTGTGCTGTATTTACTTACAAATTATTGATTATTCACTGAGATCTCATTTGTTTCATTTTGATACAGGGAAACTGGAGAAATTTGAGAGAATCTAAAATATAACATTAAGTGATAAAGTGTTGGGGCTGGTGAGATGGCTCAGTGGTCTAAAGCACCTACTTAGAACAAGCTTAGCAAATCAGAGGGACCACGGTTCAATCCCCCAGCACCACATGCCAGCCAGCCCTGCCCCCTGGTGGGCTGAGCTGGCCACACACACACA